GAGGGGCGCCGGGTCTCACTCTTGTGCCGGCCGCCGGCCCAGGAGGGTTTATGGACGCTGGGGCTCCGCAGCAGGGCACGACCCGCCGACTTCAGCGCGTCCATCCCGGCGCCTCCCGGCCCGGCCCCGCCGCAAACTTTGCTGCGGCGCCAGCGCTGACCGCGTCCGGGGGCGGGGCACATGCAAATTTAGGGAGCGTTGCGTCATGCTTGACCACGCCCCCCCCCGTGCCACGCCCTCGTCCCAAAATCGGCGCGGGCGGCCCGTGGGGTCCCAGAGGGATGTGCGACCCCCCGATCTTGCCGGGATGCTGAGACTCCTCACACACCCTCTGCTCCCCCCCGGGATTGCTCCCACTGGAGCTTCCCCCACTGGAGACCCCCGCCCCGAGCCCCCACAGGGCCGCCCTACAAACATCTATGTCCCAGCTCCACGGGGGTCGCCTTCAGCCGGCATCGCCACGGTGATAAATATATAAATAAATATATCACACCGTGCTCCGTCACTTCTGCACAGCCCTGCTGCTCCTTCCCGCTGGTTCCTCCGCTGCAATTCCACCTTTCCCGGGGGGATCCCACCTTCCCCACTCAAATTCCATCACCAGCGGCTAAATATATCACACCGTGCTCAGCGACCTCTGCACTCGCCCTGCTGCTCCTTCCCGCTGGTTCCTCTGCAGCAGCTCCACCTTTCCCACTCAAATTCGGGGCAGGAAACCCCTACGACCCAAATCGTCCCAGTTCAGCATGTTCAGTTTGCTGAACACCAAAAAAAAAAAAATTACGTTTGCCCCATGAGGTGTTTGATTGTCCCCGTCCCGGGATGAGGAAATGCGATAGGATATTTTAATATCCTGTTTGATCAACTCTGGCCTGAGCACACGCCAACCCCTCCGTGTCACCACGGCCACCAGTGTGCTCTAAACTCCGCCTGAGCATAATTGAATGGAAGATTAAGGCCTTCACAGGCTTTCTGAAATTAAAGGGATAATAATGAGGAGGTTAAACCCCATATTTAGGATTTGGAGAATAATGCCTCACAAAGCCTATTATTCACGGAAACATTTGTGTAATTGAAAATCCCTTTTTAGTTCAATTTTAACATTCCCCTCTCACGTTTGTAGCCGGGAGCCGAGGCACAGGAGCCACACCAAGTTCCTCTCCGTGGGACACAAAAAGCTGGTGGAAGGGTTGAGCTGAATTTCTCACCCCAAAATCCCAGTCTAAAGCAGGACGGAGCCGGTGGTACATCCCCCTTTTAGTGCTTGGTTTGGATCTGAGCATGTGGGGGTGAGCTGCCCCCCTGAAAGTCATCACTGGAGTTTAAAATATCCTTGTGGTGGTAAAAAACTACAAGTGTCACCCCTCTGAGGAAGGCAGTGCTCAAAATCGCCTCTCCATACCCACCTCCCTGGGTGGGATAGCAGGCTTTCCTCCTGCAGGAGAAGCCCAGAGGGGCAAGTGGGTCCTGGGGGCCAGACAAGCAGAGTCCAACCTATTTATTAATTTCCGAGTGCTGAGCGCGGCAGGGCAGCGATTTTTAAAGGAAATCTCCTTGTTTTCTCTCCGTCGTGGTGAGCAGCACATGCCTGACCTCTCCACCCTTCCCTGCCCGGCCCATCACCACCCATCCATCTCCCGGTAATTGTCCTCCCTCCTGCCGAGCCGCCGGCTCCGCACGGACTCTCCTCTCAAGGTTATTTTCAGCTCTGCAGCGTCACCGGAACACACACGAGTTTGCAGCTCCAGTTTTGCAGCAGTTGGGGCTGCACCCTCTCCACTGCTCCCAACACCCAGCATCATCTCTTTAATCGGGGAAACACAAACAAATCCTGGCCGCTCTCCCTCGCTCTTCCTCCCCACCACGGCATTTGCATCCGCGGGTCGCAATTAAAGAAATTCAGCTTTTCTGCAGGTTTTTTTGTAGCAATCTTTACCATGAACATGCAGCCCTGCAGGTAAGTCCAGTGACAAGCTTTGCTGTGAGGGTGGGTGCTCGTCCGCTCCCTGCTTTAATTGTTGAAGTCAGCAGAGCTGCGCCGTCCCCCAGCCGTGGACACCCACGTTCCCGAGGCTTTGCTCGTTCACTGCCTCTCCATGTTTACAGCAAAGTGCATTTATAGCACATTAACATCTCTGGGGGTGGTTAAAAGGTGATCACTAATGGAAATCTGCGCTCCTTCCACTCTGTCAAACCCGGCCGCGTTTGCCTCCTAATAAATTGGCGTCTCTGCTGAGAAGGCCCGTGTCTAACTGCCTGTGTGATAAAAAGACCAATTGCTGACATTTTCCGCTGTTTTCCCTTCCTTTGACATTTCATTAAGAGGAAAATAACACCAGCAACTACAAATGTGCTCTCATTGACATTTGTTGGCCGTAACGTGGCGAGTTGCCCTGATTAGGAGAGGAGTTGAGGAGCGGGACATTCCCTGTCTGCAGGATCACAGAACTCCCCCGAGTCCTCCCACGGCCCTGCAGAGTCTCAGAGGATCCTGAGCCGCTCCCCCCATCAGCTGCCCAGCTCAGGAATCACCTCAGCTCACCCCACTGCCACGAGGCTGAGCTGTAACCAACCCAGACCTCAGACCCTGTCAGTAAATCTAATTTATAGGCATGCTTAGGACTTCAATTACCACAGTCATTAACAATTTGTTAATGAGTCAATTAACATGCTTTGGGGATCTGTGGAGAAAGGGCATTATAAATATGATAGCATCAAATATTGCAGAAATAAGCATCTGGCTGCCCCAGGACTGGGCCAGGAGCTGCTGCTGGTTGCAGGGTGTGTGTTCCCTGCCCCGTCACAGCAGTCGTGGTGTCACCTGTGCGAGGGGCTCTCTGGTGATGGGATCAGCTCCAGCATCACCCTGATGCCAGGATGCCCAGTTTAGGAAGCAGCACCAGGCTGGAGGTGGGAAACAAAGTTTGACAGGAAACACTCATTTTCCCTGCAGCCAGGTGGGTGCTGTGAACCCCAGTGTGGGGCTGTGCTGCTGTCCTGGGGTTCTTCCCATACAAACCCCAGCTGCTCCCCACCCTGTACAGCCCCACACACACAGAGGGGCAGCTGGTGGGCCCAAATGAACACACTGAGTACCATCCCTGGTGCTAAAACCATCTTCTCCTGCTCCCATCCCACCACATCCCAAAGTTTCTGGGTTTTGTGAGCTCTCTCGTAGCACACTCGTGTTTCTCTCCCACCCCAAAGTCCAGCTGCTTTGGCCTGGATCACGGGCACAGCCAGGCTGTGCAGGCTGAGCTGATGGAAAACAGGCCCAGGGCAACGAGCAGGAGCAACTTAATTACAATCAAAGCCCATCAGCCTGGTCAGCGTGTCCCATCAGCTGCAGGGACGGGGCAGGACTGAGCTGAACGTGCAGCAGGGACGCTGGGGCTGGGGTGGCCAGCACAGCACCACCTGCACAGCATCCTGCTCCCCAGGGATGCTCAGTGCCAGACCCTACAGAGGGTGGGGCAGATCATCTCCTAATCCTTAGCAATTAAAGCCTGGCTTAAACTTGAAAGCGTAAGATTTAACGTCTCTTAAAATTTCATACATTAATTAGCCCAGCTCTGCAGACTCTTGGGTACCAAGAAGTAAATCTCACTCTTCTTGGGAGACCTACACATTTTTTTTGGTCTGAACAGTATCCTGTTCAGAGGAAATCCCGCAGCACAGCTGCTCTCTATGGCCAGCACCAGACTCCAAAAATCTGACGCCAAAGGAGCTCTCGCGTTTTGCCCTGGCAGCAAATCGTAAATGAGGCAGGAGCTCACGAGGAAAACAACCTCCCTCCCTGCTCTGCTGCTGGTGGAGGCAGGAGGTGCCTTGTACACCCTGTCACTGAGCCACAGCCCCTTCCTCGGAGGGAAGAAAGGCTCTTGTGACCAAGAGGGAACTGAACTGAGGAGCTGAGTGTGACGGGAGGGACGAGGGATGGAAAATCCACATCAGCACTGCTGCCGTCCAGGGAAATTAGAAGCTGTGCTTGTTCCCAGTGTGTGTTTGTGGTTTTTTTTCCCTGCAGACTCGCTTTCCCTCCCTCTGCAAACACAGTCTGCACAGCCAGCACGCTGTTCCCAGCTCTCCAGGGGACTGCCCAGCCCAGCCTGGGCTGAGCTGCAGGGGCTGAGTGTGCCCTGGGATGCTGGGAAGCAATCCCGACCCAGCAGGCAGCAGCTGGGGGAGCAGATATCCTGGGCATCCCTTCCAGCTCCACCTCACCTGTGGCTGGGAGCAGCCCCAGGAGAGGCTGGAGTGGTCCCTTCCCATATCCAGGATCACGTTATCCCTCCTGTGACTTCTCCAGTGGCTTCACCACCTCCCAAGTTTTTAGGAGGCTAAACCACGGGGTACAAACTCATCCACCAAGGATGTAGCTGAGAGTGAAAGTTCCCTTGTGCTGATTGGAATTAATTTTCCAATTAATTGGAAAAAACAAAGGGTACTCTTCGAGGAGTTTAGTCATTTATTTGGGTTAATTCTGCTTTTTTATCACAAGCAATTCAACCCTCATCTAAGGCTTGTGTTAAACTGGATTAGCTTTACTGACGGTGCTGGAGCTTCCAGATTGACACCAGCATAACTTCTTACATAATGCAGCCAAGATAAAAATACAGCAGGTTAAAATATCAGCTGTTAGAGGAAATAACTGGAGCACCCACACATTTAATGCATTCTGAAGAAACGGGGAGAGAAATCACGGTACTGTAACCCACAGTGTTCTGGGCACCTTTTATCAGAGGGTATCAAAGCACGTTCCAAATCATTACTTATTTAAGCCTTGTCACATGCTGGTCACAGAGAGGACAATCCTGGAGCAGGGCAAGAACCCTGGAAGCATCAGCAGAGACAAAGAAATACTTAAACCAAAGAGGTTTCCAGTGGGAAATGCTGTTTCAGGGCGATTGAAACGTTTTGGGCAGAGCATTTTGGTGTCGAGGAAGTTTTCGGCAGGACAGTTTCGAAGCAATTCAGCACCAAAATGGGACCTGGTGGGAGAGGGGCTGGGGGGTTTATTTCAGTGCAAGTTTTACTGTGTCATGTGTAAATAGTGGTAAATAGTTGTGGCTGACCTTTGCTATAAATGTTCCTTCTCAGTCTG